TTTTGCTATTTATTTCTAATTTATTATCTATACAGACCGACGCGTGACGCCCCCCCCCTACTGCACCCTACCGTTGAAAATACTAATTTGTGAAAGGCTTTTTGTTTTTATTTTTATTGAAAATTCCAGAAATCATGGAGTATATGTATATGTTCCATCGTACACCATTTTTGTCTTATTTTGATAAAAAAAAATAGTATAACAACGTCACAGCACAAATTTTTCAAAAACACGCTTAAAATGAATATATAAAACGTAAACAAAGTGGCAACCTAGCATTTTTCTGTTTACATTTGGTTTGTATATCATGGGTACATTTGTTTTAAGTATATAAAAACATATTAAAAACTATAAAAGAATGGTTTAAACTAAATGTCAATCAACTAAAGTCAATCTTAATAACGTATTACTTCTTAAGATTCCATGAAAAATAAACTGTGAATACCTGGATATATTAAGTACATAATATATTGTTTCAAAATCAATTGGATGAAACATATCTACCAAAAAAATGAGAAGAAAACACATGTTTATACAAGAGAACAAGAATTATATAATATTATATATGCGTATTTGTTACCAAACTTTAGGAAATTTGGGGTGAGTTTATTAAGCTCCCATATGGTTAATGATAATCTTGGGGGATGGTAAATTTAGCCCACATTAGTGCAGTGTTGTCAGGTTTGAGAAATTTTCGCCAGATTTATACAAAAAATGTTTTGACTTTTTGAGTTTTAATACTTAGAAAAAATTTCATACACTGTCAAATATGTCCCAGATATTGGTATATGGCATAATTTTTAAATAAGACTAAACTAAACTATTTAAATACTCATTAGAAATGTTAGATTTTAATATATTTTTAATGTATTTCTTAAATGTAAATAATTCAGTTAATGAAAATAAAGGTTTTTAATAAATTTTTGTTGGTCCGAACATTTAGTTGTTAGGGCTCGTATAGCGTGTTCCGTTTAAAGAAAAATTGTTTATATAGTCTATAAAATGAATAACTTTGAATTTTGACCGTTATTTTTTACCAACATGGCAAATATAAAATCCCTCTATCAAAAAAGTTACTGATATTCTTTAAATTGAGTGCCTGACTGAACGAATCAGACAGGTAACTCTTTTTAGTTTCCTGAAATAGAAAAGGAAAATAATAAAGCAAGTGACAGTTCTTCCTCTTCTTACAAAAATCAACGCGAAATTTCATAATTGACAAAATGTCATCAGCTTTTGACATTTCTAAATATAAGAGCAATGCCGTCTCTAATAGAACAGCCACGGAGCGAGATTTATGACGTCACGCTAGTTAGATACTACGGATTAATAAATATGTTGTAGAATACATGGAAAACATAATTATTCCTCGTATTTTTGGTTTGTATTTTAAAAATGATATAGTTTACATGAAATATACATAATATACAGTTAATAAATACAATATAATATATACTTATTTATAGTAATAAATACTTTGGCAAGTAAACTATGAACCATACAAATGCAGCAAATGTTTTACGATATACAAATAATGAATAGGTGGTACATAAGATAATGGGGAAAATGTAAAATATATTTTAAATTTTGGGGTTTGAAAATCGATCTAATTTAACAAAAAACATTCAATATCTACTAATAGTGATGTACATATTATTATTTGCATTCCCAAAATTTATTTATATATTATAATGTTTACTGCAATTAATAAACTAATATAAACTTGTCAAAAGATAACCACATATTTTTTTAAATTATTAGTCTTAACACAAAAACTATCTACATTGACTATGGAGTACGATTTCAGCCATACTGTAAAACATTTGCTGCATTTGTATGGTTCATAGTTTATCTGCCAAAGTATTTATTACTATAAATAGGTATATATATATATATATATATATATATATATATATATATATATATATATATATATATATATATATATATATATATATATATATATATATATATATATATTGTATTTATTAACTGTATATTATGTATATTTCATGTAAACTATATCATTTTTAAAATACAAACCAAAAATACGAGGAATAATTATGTTTTCCATGTATTCTACAACATATTTATTAATCCGTAGTATCTAACTAGCGTGACGTCATAAATCTCGCTCCGAGGCTGTTCTATTAGAGACGGCATTGCGTCAGCAAGGCCGCAAGTTGCTAACCTAATAAAATTAACACTAGAAAAGCCCGCGGGAACTGTCAAATTCAAAGTTATTAGTTTTACAGACTATATCAATAAATGTGACATAAAACTTAACTAACTATCCTACAATTTAATATTTTAATGAAAGTTTTGTCTCCAAAAACAAAAATAAGTTACAGTCAATTAAAAGTGGAGCAAAATATAATGAAGGTAGCGTACCATTGTCTACCATAATTGTTTTTGTTTATTTCTAATTATATAAATTAAAATATATAATCTATAAAAATCTGGCAGGCACAAAACTGGCAACAAAACTGCCTTAGAAAGATATTATACAGTAAGCTACTATAGATATGGTTTAGGCGATTCGGTGTCCACAAATCCTTTCGATATATGATCGAAATTTGCTCGAATAGAGCAGTACCCTTTGTGGAGACCCGATGGGCCTATGATCTAACTGTTTACGAGATAAGTCTGCAGGCTGAAACGCCAAAAATGTCTTCCTTATAAGCTATTATCTATTTTGTAATTTTTAGTGAAGGGAGCAAAATTGTCACTTCGAGCTGAACGTGTACAGGGTGGAACAAAAATAATAAAATATAACACTAATTTTGTGCGGTCTTAGTTTTCTTTGCAATACGAAAAATGAGGGTTTTTGTCGTAAATTAAGTGTTTATATTTTATATTTTTTAATTCATCTTGTACAGAAACTCTTACGTTGTAAGCTGTCGAAATAGATTTTTATTTCCTTAGTAGTGAACTGGTACAAATAAAATTAAGACGCTTATAAAAATTATTATATTTTATATCATTTCTACAGACGAATATGAGTTTGATAATGTATTCTGATTGTTTAAACAAATAATTTTAATACATATATGAATTAATAAACGGCACATTGGGGGTATTTTTATAACTGAAAATTTAAAAAACAAAAATTTCGTATTACGAAATTTTCAAATTTTTATCGAATATCTGCAGTTATTTATTACCTACCCTGTATATACTATCAGTTAAATTACTTGCAGTTATTTAAGAGACACCGTATGTATATACAGTGTAAGTCAAAAAATATATTTTCATTATACATTATTACATATCATATTGGTCTACTTTATAGATATATAGATTATTTAGAAATATTTATTAATGATTTTTGTTATACCGGGTGTTGCATCGTCGGACGGGACATAGGAAATCCCATGCAAATTTTAATGGGGTCAATTATTGACTTCCCTAATTATTTTAGAGAATAATTCTATTTAGGTTTATTGAAGAGCACTAAAACCCACATTCAAAAGAATAACTTTACATATTTTTGATTAGCCCGTTTACGAGTTACCGCCGATTTCTTTTTAAATATTTCTCCTTTCTTATGGCCCTGTATTTACTTATGAGCACCAGTCAAGGTAAAAGATAACTGTCAAATAAAGTTGTCATTTCAGATATTTACCTATTTAGTGCTTTATTATTATTGAAAACTCATTCCTACATCGGAAATCTTAATGATGTATTTATAAATACAAATTAATATGAATTAAAGTAAAATAAAGTAATCAATTACAAGATTAATTATAGTATTATTACAGTATTCAATAATTTATTATTAATTTAGGTATCTACTATTAAATTGTTAGAATTTTAGGATTTAAGAAGATATTCAAATATTCCTCCATCGACTGCTAGACAATAACCCAGGCGATCATAAAATTCTCTTCTTACATTCGCTAGTTGGTAAACTGAAATTCTATTGCATTCGGCAGAAATAGCATTTTTTAACTCGTCTAGATTTGGGTATTTTTTATCCTTGTATATCTTGTTTTTTAAATGGCCCCAGAGAAAGAAATCATTTGGCGAAATATCAGGAGACTTTGCTGGCCAATTTACTGTATGATTTAGGCCAATAACGTTTCCGTTAAAACTATTGTCTAAATATTCCCAAACAGCCAGGGTACTATGTGCCGGACAGCCATCCATTTGGTACCAAACTTCCTGATTTTCCCTAGCGGCATCATGTAAAGCAGGTAAAATATGATTTTCGAGTAGTTCCAAATAATATTCTGCATTCAAATTTCGCGTAAGAAATAATGGCCCGATAATATTGTTTCCGAATATCCCTGCCCAAACATTTACTTTCTGTGGATATTGCGTCCTTGTTTCGACAAACCTGTGTTGGTTTTCTTTGTTCCAATATCGATAATTTTGAACATTGGGTTCATTATTTAAGGCAAACGTGCATTCGTCAGTGAAACATATGTTTTTTAAAAATTCCCTATCCGTGTTCAGTGGCGTATCCAGGATTCATGCCTGGGGGGGTCAATAACTCAGTATTATACCTAAATATATATTTTTTTACATTAACAAGCCAGTACCTACCTAATTACAGCCTAGGTACTATGATAAATTGTATATAGGTATAAATAAATAACAAATATTTTTCTTAGAAAACTGGTTTAATAATTTTTCTATACTTTGCTAAACTGTTGACCGAAGAAAGGGCCGAATATCAACAAACATTGCAGCCACAATCCGACATTCAAATAAGAACCACAGCCTCTCCACTGAGGATCAATACCAAAGAAGTAAAACAAATTTGCCAAACCCTGAAAAATAGAAAATCGCCTGGTCCAGGTGAAATTCCTCCAGAATTACTCAAGTACGGCACGGATAAATTATATAAGCAGCTCGCTAATCTTTTCCAAAAGTGCCTTAATGGTGAAAACATACCGAAAGAATGGAAGACATCATATATAACAACAATACACAAGAAAGGAAGTAGACGATTGCGATAACTATCGAGGAATTTCCGTGCTGAGCTCTGTTTCAAGGGTCTATGGAAAATTGGTCAAAAAGAGAATTGAGGAAGAATACTGGGATATGGAGGCTGAAGAACAAGCGGGGTTTAGAGCTGGTAGATGCACGGTCGACCATTTATTTACACTGACACAGATAATTGAGAAAAAGATGGCAAGAAATCAAGAAATACATCTCCTCTGCGTAGACCTCAAGAAACCATATGATAGTGTACCCCAGTCTAAATTGTGGGAAGCCCTCGAGCATAACATTAATTAAGGCTGTCCAAGAACTTTATAAGAACAACACTAGCCAAGTAAAGAAAGGACAAACAGTATCAAAGGGATTCAGCATAAACAAAGGTCTTAAACAGGGCTGCTGTCTACCCCCGACACTGTTTAAAATCTATTTGGAACAAGCTCTGAAAATGTGGAAAAGGAAGTGCGAACAGATGGGGATACCACTAAACGACTCGATACTTTACACTCTTTGTTTCGCTGATGATCAAATAATACTGGCTCAAGACTACTAAGTAACATTACATCACAAAAAAAAATAATCATTAACACAAAAATTAACTAAAAATTAAAGAAACAAATAACAAAATAAGAAGAAACAAACAAAAGGCCAAGTGAATAAAGTAAAAGCACAGATACAAATAAAATTAAATAACAATATCCAGGCTTTTTTGCCTGCATTTCATTAAGTACCTCCTCTGTACTAACAGATATTTCTGGATACATATACAAAAGGGATAAGCCATTTAGTCTGTCTTTACTTACGGTGTTACTGACGTAGGACTTTAACAATTTAGGGTTGAAAATTTCCTTTCAGGTGTTGCCGTACTAACGGGTAAAGTGCAATTTTTTTTAATAAGATAAATATGTTAGGAAATAGTTCTTGGTCAAATATTAACAGAGCATCGAGTGCGGAACTTGGGTAGTCTTCTGGTGCATAGTCTTCAAATATTCTATGCTAGAGCTTAAATTCAGCCGAAACTACAGAAAATGAAGAGTTTTCTAAGTCGTTTTTATTAAAATCTATAGCATATATTTTAGATTCGATACTTCATAATCGGATTTTTTATTTAGGGAGGGAATATAAGAGAGCTACATGACCGTAGTATGTCTTTGTATTTAACAAATCGTTCTTCCAAATGTAATACTACGTGATCTAAAAAAGGAATAAAAATTAATAATCTGTAATAATCTTGAGCAGTTTCAGTTTTAAAATTCGGCCTGTTTTTTTGTCTACTAGTTATTCGGTTTTTTTTATTTCCTGTCCAAACAATTTGTTCATGTTTCTGTTTGCTTCTGTAAAAATATCTGCGAAGCTGGTATTTAAATTATTGTTTAAAATATAAATAGGACCGGCGCGAGTCGTGTATGGAGGGGGCAATTGCCCCCTTTGCCCCCCCTTGGATACGCCACTGTCCGTGTTTGCTCTTTCCATCATGTCAAAACAAAACGCCTGCCGCCGTGTTTCGTCCCCATCTCGTAGCTTTTGGTGCTTTTCATATTTGAAGGAATAGTATTTATGTCGTTTCAAAATTCGAAACGCTGTAGTGTGATCTATTCCGATTTCATCCTCAAGTTTCCTTGTGCTGATCTTTCCATCATTCTCTTCCACGCACCATAAAACTTCCAAGTCGGTATCATTTCTTGCATCTTCTCTTTGTTCCTGCCTTGCTTCACATCTGCAGTTATTTATTAGGGTACCTTTGGTCTCAAATCTCTGGATATTCCTTGCGATTGTAGATTTTTCAGGTATCGGTCTATTCGGATACAGAACAGCAAACATGTCCGACACCTTTTGATAACTATTTCCTTGATAATACACACCATTTAATCAATACTTTTTCTTCGGGAGTGTAATTCATGGCTAATATTTTCGATGTAGGTATGAGTTCTTAATAATAATAATAAAGCACTAAATAGATAAATTTCTGAAATGACAACTTCATTTGATAGTTATCTTTTACCTTGACTGGTACTCATAAGTAAATACAGGGCCATAAGAAAGAAGAAATATTTAAAAAGAAATCGGTGATAACTCGTAAACGGGCTAATCAAAAATATCTAAAGATATTCTTTTGAATGTGGGTTTTAGTGCTCTTCAATAAACCTAAATAGAATTATTCTCTAAAATAATTAGGGAAGCCAATAATTGACCCCATTAAAATTTACATGGGATTTCCTATGTCCCGCTCGACGATGCAACAACCGGTATATCTACTTACACTATTTTTAACTGTTTTTTTGTATACTTACACAATCCATTCACACTCTTCGAGCTCGTAGAAATGACAATAATTTGCTTTAAAAGAATATTTATCCACTAGAACATTCTAGGGGTCCATCTTTTTTGAAAATTCCAGCATTTTTTCCAATCATCTGTACCTACCTTCTCCATTGAACTTTTTGAAAAAAATCTGGCTTTTTCAAAAAAACCTTGGACCGAAAAACATATTGTCAGTGGTTGGTTTAAAATTAATTAGTTAGATGAAGAAATTAAGTTTAAATCCAACACACGGTATACAACTTACGTTATTCGTGTAAAGATATAATATATGTAAAATTAAAGTGTATAACTTTATCTTCTATGTTTTGTAAAATGGGAAAAATACTAAAAATAAAGTAAATTGTGGTATTAAAGTCTTTGTTGTTTTATTTTAATGTTCTTCTTTGTGTACAACCAGGGCTTCCGACCATTTTATGTTGTGGGGCTTGGAATTTTAGATGCAGTAAATGGTTTGATATTTCTGAAGGTTTTTATCGTAGATATTCTACCGTATGATCGAAAAAAACGGCGTCAGCGATGACTATGAAATTTAGATCATCATTTCCCAGCCAACTGGACGTCATTTTTTCGATCATACGGTATTTGGTATTAAAATAAGGATTATGGTTCACCCTGTATATCGAAATAAATTTATTAAATTGAACTTTTTTTTTAAATAAAAACCAAACGAATATAAACGTTTATTAACTAATAATTTTTTGTACATAGTAATGTCAAAAATATAATGCATATTATGGCAATATTATAAAATCACAATTAATTAGGTTTGTTTATACAGGGTGAGTTTAAATAAGTGCACATACTCTTGGGGGTTGTCATATTTCCATCCCAGGAACATATACGTTTATAACGTTTAAAACTCCGCACTTATTTAAGACTCATCCTGTATAAATGCAATTTAAAAATTATATCCAACCTATATATCTAAAAGTTAATCTAAAACAACAAAAAACAATTTTTTGTAATCCTAATTTATTCTTGAGCAGAACAAACGTTATTTTTTTGGTAACATTTAGGCCAGAATGACTAGTAACAATACGGGTAATTTTGTTGCAAATTAATTGTAACAATTTAAAAAAAAACAGTCTAAAATATAAAACAGATAGGTTTAAAAATAATGACTATGTCTTAACACACTTAAAATTACTCTTAAATCTATTTTTTGGTAAACTAGAACACTAAAATATAAAAGAATTATATTAAATTTCTTTGGCCTTTAAAAATTCTTACCCTTTTTTAAATCCTAAAAATGCACATTTTTTTTGTATTTAAACATACAATACAATCGAGAAAAAAAAAACGGCGTCACAGTTAGCTTGGAACTGAAGATCATTTTCGAGCCAACTTGACGGCGTTTTTTTCTCGACAGTAAGGTACTTTTAAAAAAGTCTTTCTTATTCTATCAGTTTTCAATCTATACGCAATTATATAACAAATTTAAGGCCATTCCTCAAATACTGATAGATAATTATTATTATACCACATATACAGGGTATTTCATAAATAAATGAAAACAGTCTCAAGATATTTTACATAATCATTTATAAGCAAAGTTAATATCTTGAAACTTGATGATAAAATACTGAAACTTTTGAGAACCGCCGATTTTTAATGTCTATGTTATTTTGCATTGTTGCCAAGTTGTGCAATTTTTCAGTGAATTATACAAAAATCTAAAAACAAATTACTAGGTATTATAAGAGTTTAGAAAACTATAAATGTATTAAATTTGTGCTCTCAGCTTATTTGTGTTAAAATTAAAAATCAAAACATAAAATTCTCAATTAACTTGCAGTACCAAAAAGTTTTGTCAATTATTTATTAAAAAAATATCAAAAAATATAAATATTTTTTTGTAAAAAATGGTAGTACTTATGAGATCCAACTATGTAGCCAGTATAATATATGCATTTATTTACAAAACACCCAAAGTATATATTAATCTCTTAATTAGTCCAAACTATGCTATGCCCTAAAACTATATAAATACTTATATTTTTTTCAAAATAAAACTTATATTGTAACAAAAACTTGTCATCTCTTCCATATCACATTTTTTAAACACTCTTACCACAGTGTCACATACAAATCTTGCAAAAATGTATGACATTTTTTCCTGATAAAGCACATATTTGCTTGAAAAAAAAAACAGCAAAATTTTTAAAAAAATATTGCATTATATGACACTGTAAATAGAAAAAAAAACACTCAATGACAAAGTAAGCCACTTATACAGGGTGTCCCAGAAATAAGTGCAAGTATTTTAACTGGTAGTATAGTTCAACCCCAGAAACACGCCTATGAGTGTTTTTTCGCGAAAAAAAAATAAAAATTAGAAATTTTTTGAAATCTTTTTTTTGGAAATTTTGTCATCATTTCTTGATAATACGGCAACATAGGTATTAGATTAAATTTACAAGAAAGAAAATCCACAAAAAATCCAGCGGTTCTCAAAATTTTAGCAAAAACTATTTTTATTTTGGAAATTTTCAAATCAAAATAACTCTGTTATTTTGAACTTATTTGAGAAAGGATAAAGAGAAAATATGTTTCTTTTATAGAGATCTACCACCCTTTAAAATACTTGCACTTATTTCTTGGACACCCTGTATACCGTACACACTTTTTTTAAGTGATTCAAATGTTCATCCACTTTTATACAGGGTGTGTCTGAAATAAATGCAAGTATTTTAAAAGGTGGTAGTGTATGTCAATAGATTTTACACTTTCACCATAGAACAACAACACATCGGTGTTTCCATATGGTTACCCGTCGATCCACTCGCATCGTCTAATGTCGCTTAACTTCTTAAAATACTATGAATTTATAAACACACAAATATGCAGACTGTAAGTAAAGGAGGTGGCATCATTGTAAAGCTTAGATACACCGTCAAGAAATTTCAGGAGAATGAACCTGTGGCATTAAAAAGTTTTTTAAAATTTTCCGAAAAATATTTTAAAATACTTGCACTTATTTATGGGACACCCTGTATAGTACAGATGTGCAATAAAAAGTCGTTTAAAAAGAATCCTACCAAGATTTAACGCAAATTTAAGTTTGTGCTATTTACTGATAGTTGCATAATTTAAAAAAAAATTGTTTTGGTTAAGCAGAGGCTCTATTTTAAAAGCTGATGTGAGTTGTTATTGCTCATGAGCTCACTGTTGAGCTTTTTAAAGGTTTTTGTCATTTTCTCTCTGGTTTCTTCCATGAGAGACTCAAGATCTTCCAGCGTCTTGCCTTTGGTGCTTATCGGTTCCAAAGTTTCAATTATAACAACACCTGAAAAAAAAAATAATAAAAAAATCAATAAAAAAGATGCACAATTCAAATTGCACATTTTGTTCTCCTGTATTTGTCTTTTTATAATATTTCTATATGCCTAAAATTTGGCAGTGCATTTTTCACAACCTGTATAATGTTTATTTGTTTCTGTGTCAATAGGTAATGTATAATAACATAACTCAGATATTAAAAAAAGATGAAGAAAATAAATTCTAAACCCAAGTAGCAAAAAGAAATTCTAAAAGGATTGAATTATTTTATAATAGTCGAATAGCGTTGTCTTAAGAACTGCTTGATTTTATTAAGCGTTTGGTTTCGACCATTCTGTTTTTTAATAAAAGTTGTCATATTAAACTATTTTCTAGTGGTTTGTACAACCTATCCTGTAACGCTTTAGACGATAATTTCTTTTAGTATGATATAACACTTAATAAGACAATGCTATATGATAACAAACATATTATTTTATTAGACTCTTATACCCACCATGTAAGAGTTCTATAATATTCATATAACTAGTAGTCACAAGATCATATAATAGTTACTTAAACTTGTCTTAATAAAGTTGTATTACGTTGTATGATAGAATGTTTTATTGCGTTAAACTACGGTGCTGTATACAACACCAATTATATAGCCTTATATGACAAAATTGTGATTAACAAAATAAATTCGCTGTATTATAAAAAATCTGCATTATAAAACTGGTAATGTATAATATAACCTCATTTTAAATTAAATGGTATACCTAGTTATTTATTTTGTTATTGTTGTTGTTGCTAAAGTAATATCTACGTACGAGTATAATCAATCACAGCTATTATGAATTCTGGACAAAGTTGGAAAAAAGTTAACAAACGCAGTGGTAGTTATAAAGAGCATGTAAGAAAAAACTCATCGAAATTACGGCAAATAATCCCGAGAATTCCCTAGGTTCTCAAAAATCTCTCGGGTTGTCTGGCTTCTTCAAAGCATTGTTGCCACGTTGATTAAAAGTTTTACTGTAGTAATGTTTGTATTGTTTTATTGTTGTTTTTCCAAGTCCTTAGGTTGCCGCTCACTCGTCGGGCACGCATGAAATGCATTGCGTGCATGAATCCATGAAAATCTGATCATGTTTGTTAGTTTAAATACTAATCAAATGAGATTTGGCAACATCTATTTGTCACAAATCTCAATATATCCAAAATAGTTCTATAGTGCCTGGAAATTCAGCGTAATGATAGATATTTATCCTATACCGTTTTATTTTACAACAAAGACTTATTTAAGGGATTCATTTATAATAAAATGGTTGCATTATTATTCGCCATATTTAAGGCAGAATTTTTGTATGGCCTATGGCCGCCATTATATGAAGCAAAATTAAAAACATCAAAATAAATTGTAAAATGTTATTTTTGAGATCTATTTTGTGGTAAGATTCCCACATACAGTAATATAGTGTTTAATTAAATTCAAAACAAGAATTTTTGAAAATTTTATTTTATTTTATTGTTTAAATTTATATGTAAACCTTAATCGAAATTAAAGCGCTTTAATTTATTGCCAAATGCATACCTAATCTACCAGTAAAATTTTCGGCGGAACAAAAATTGTCCCTACTTTTCAAACCCTGTTAATGATTTCTTATATTACATATTTGTTGTACCTTCTGGCTCTACCCGCCATTTTCATTGTCGAGTAAAGTCTCCTTTTTAACAACCCACATCCTCTAGATTCATTTTACGACACGCTTAAAATATAATTTGCTCCTAATATTCTTCGGTAAAAAATAAAATACTCTTGTACCTCGCTAAATGATCAACTGTTTTTATTGTTCTGTTTCTTAGATGTGACCACGTAATACACAATAAAACTAGTTTTATAATAGTCAAATAACGCTGTGTAAAATAGTTGCATAAGAGTTGTGTACCCTTTTTATAGAACTTCTATACTACTAAAC